TGCTTCCAGTTCACCCAGCTCTCTTGCTCTCCTGCCCAACCCTCACCTAATAATATCAGTCATCTTGATGGTGCAGATTACCCAGGAAAAATAACATAAAATCGGAAAAATATATATATACAACACATGAACAAGAACAAGATTGTATAATTACTTTGATTCCCATAAGCTCTCCACCCACTACCTGTCCCTAAGGTAAGCCACTCCTGAGCCACTCTCCTCCAATTGCCTTCAACCAAACTGACTGAAATTGTAAATTGTTCATTTTGTAGTCCCAGCATTAAGGTATTTTTTCCAATTGAGTAGATTGCTTAGATTATTTATTGTCACCTGTCATGGGATGGAGGTTTCTTCTTGAGCCAGTTCAGTGTTATTGCTTTTTGGCAGCTGCCAAGCACTGAGTATTTATGTTCTTTTTCTCTTATGTCTCCAGGCAATACCCCAGGTATGACTAACAATGTGTCTCTAGAGAGCGAGGGAGAACCATTCCAAAATGTATTTAGGACAGCACATGTCCACAGTATACTGCATGTGTGTGTTTGCAATCCTCTCACTACAATTCCTTTTTTGCCTGTGGTTCATTCTGGATAAAATATTATACATATAATCTAATCCTGTTTCTGTACAGTACTGTAAAAGAGATCCGCCATAAGGATGTTACTGTCACCAGGAAAACCACAGTTTGAACAATTTAACAATTTAAAGGAAATAATTGAATATGTTTAAGAAGGTTCAAGACGACAGGAGAAAAAAATATATTCAATTAGTTGAAATTTGTGGGTTTTAGATCTTGAAAAGTTTGAACAGTTCTAATACTCTGAGGAGGGTGTAGTTTGTGTGTCCTGTCGCTAGATGGCAATAATGAGCTAGTTAGAGGCTTTTTGAACTTCTTTATTTGAATCTAGGTCTGTGTTCAAACAGCAGATGATAAGAGTAAAGCAGAGTGCTGGGACTTTAACCTTGATGTGATGTTATGTGAGTGATAAAAAGACCTATATATACACAATAAATCAACAGAAGTTTGTTGCTTTTCATACTGCATTGTGTTTTGTTCTTAGATAGTTTCTCATTTATTTTATTTCCTTCTATATGACTGTGTAGATTTCCATTAAGATCAGTTCATCAGAGACCAAACTGTTGTATCACTCCCTAAAAAAAGGTAAAATCAGGGGCTTTTTTCAGTCCTAATCCTGCAAATATTTTTTCTCTGAATTTATATCATTTTAAAAATCCAGTGGTAGGAAAATAAAACAACAACAAAACAAAATGTTAGAGACTGTATATTTTAATTACTTAACAAACATGTTCAAACGTGTTATTGTGGGAACACCATTGCAGCAATAAGGACACGATGCCTTTTAGAAGTATAAGGCTCAGTTCCTGTGTTTAATCTTCCATATTAGTTCATCCGTGCTCTGTAAACACATCCATTCCACCTAACAGTAGCTAGAGGTGTGCCAAATCAAACACTCAGGTGTGATCCAGGGTCACAGCACACACACAAATGATGTTCACTGCTTTACTGTAATGCCCCCTCCTTTGTGACAAGTGTCATATAATTATACTATAATAACATAAAGACTTATTTACAGAACTTTGGAGACCTCTAGTGGTCAATATTAAAAACTATACTGACACATACCAACACTACTCTTAAGATATCAGATGCTTTGGGGGCTTGTTATGCCTTTATTTAATAGGACAGGGGAAGATGGACAGGAGAGGGGGGAGAGAGAGGGGTGATGACATGCAGCAAAGGGAATCGATCCCTGGCCGCTGTGGTAAGGACTGAGGCGCTCTCTTTACCAGGTGAGCTACCATGCACTCCCCATGGCTATCTCATTAACCGTATAACTTATATATAACTGCTCCATGTAGCATCAACATTGCTGCTCATTCTGGTGGTCATTATTATTATATTCAATCTGTTTCAAGTTCCCTTCACCTGCCCTCCCCTTCACCAATGCAGACTGTGTATTGGTCATCCCTGCTATCTTAGAGTAGTGTATAGTATATATCAAGTATCCATATTGTCACCCTCTACGGGGATGTAAGAGGTTGTGGGACACTGTTAGAAGGCCTCTGTGTTCCCTCCTCTGGCAGCTAAAGGGAGTGTATGGGCATGACCAGAGTGTTAAGTGCCCGGTTTGTGTTGCGTGGTTGATAACCACAACCGAATGCAGGGTACCAGCTCTAAGATGTGCTTCACTGTATGCTTTAAAATAGGTTTAGTGCAGGACACCATATCTGCTACATTAATGCTTGGTTTATTATAATAATCATCACAAAAGTATGCATTAATACATCTAGCAGACATGGAGCAACATTAACATTTATCATATCTCTCATCACCTGAAAAATGTACAGCTATAGCTGCTAATCATTGTTGGAAGACATACTCAGATCTTTGTCTTGCATTCACAATGTATTAAAGTATAAGTACAACAGTATCAGTAAAGTACCAAAAGTAAGAGTACTCATTATACAGAATGGCCCATATGAGAATAATATACATACAGAAATTAAAGTGTACATCACTTTAATGTTGCAGCTGATGAATGCCCCATCTTATCGTGTCTTAACCTGTAATCATACATCATAATTGATTGATTGATTGATTATATTTTGTATTATTTATGTGAATCTGCAAGTATAGTACAATATTCAATACTAAACTGTGGTGGCGTAAAAGTATAAAGAAGCAGAAAATGAAAAGATTCATGTACCTCAAAATTGTACTTAAGTAACAGTACTTGAGTAAATGGGATTATCAGAGCCTTTTTGATGAAAACAGCAGCCTCCTGTGGCTGGAAACAGGGTTCATGAGAGCAGTGCGACTGAACCAAGCTGCATGCCATAAAACCAAATGAGCTGAAAGATGCTTAAATGCCCCGTAGAGCTGAGGGGAACTACAGAGATTAATAATTCTCTGTGGGTTCACCATAAGCAACGCCATTTTACACCAATCCACTGTCAATATGTTAATATAGGTTAATGTTAATAGTTATTGCAGCTTTAAAGGTCCAGTGTGTAACATATTATATAATAATATGCATATAATATAAAGCTATAATAATAGTTATTGTATTTTACTCTACACAGGAAGAGCAGCTTCTTCTACACTGGCTGCCATGTTGAAACGCCACATTTCTACTGTAACTTTTGCTTTTTTTCACGGATTTCACAGCCACCGTAGTCTCTACACACTTGGAACAACAGGGTGAGGCGAGGGGGTTGTAATCTACACACCACTGCAGCTAGTTGCCACTAAATCCTACCCACTGGTCTATTAAGATAACAAGATCATCCAGCCCTGCCTCCAGGGTGGCATCGTGTTTGCTTAATATTGCCTTACTGTCCTTAACGACGGGTTAAGTGCTGGACTATTCCAAGAGCAGTTGCCAGGCAACCAGTGGAGACTCCAGGAAGTAACTGCTCCCGACCAAGAAATAGTCCATCGCATTGTTTTTACACTTTTGTTTTTGAGCGTATTAAACTAACAACACAGACATATTAATGAATTATTATTCATTAATTAGTGAGCTTTACAGGTGGAGATTTTGTTAAGTGAATTTCCCCAATGTGGGATCAATAGTCTATATCTTATTATCACATCTTAGCAATATTTATACCTAAAACCATCAGCGAGGAGCTATAAATGTGAAACTATATTCCTTTAAGATAAGATAAGATATACATTTTATTAATCCCCTATTGGGGAAATTCTTCTTTTCACTCTTTTTTTTATTATCACACACACACACACACCACACACACACCAGCACGACAGGCTGAAATACACCACTTCATGCACATGTGGCTGCGACAAGGAGAGACATGGGTGAGTGAGGATCGCCCACGTTAGCCAGCGCCATGAGCCAAGTTTCCTTGGGGTTAGGTTGCCTTGCTCAAGGGCACCTCGGCAGGGCAGCAGGAGGTGAAACTGCACCCTCCTCCAGCCTTAGCCAGTCCACACTCCGCATTGTGGTCTGTGGGATTTGAACCGGCGGCCCTCGGGTTCCCAAGCCAAGTCCCTACACACTGAGCTACTGCTGCTTAATATTAACACTAATAAATGATAATCAATACAGGCTACACAGACAAACATGCAAAGTAACCTGTACTGACTTCCAGCAGTGGCAGTGGAGTAGAGCAGTGCAGCAGTGTGAGCAGTGCAGCAGTAGAGGTCTCTATTTCGCGGTACAACTGTCAAACTAGGGACACTCCCAGGAGCAACGAGCTGACCAATCACAGTGTCCCCCTAGTTGTGGACTTCTGGGTCCACTGACCAATCCCAACCTATTAAAACAAGCCGGAAAAGCCGAATAGATCCATATGGACGGGGTTTTGGCCCCACCCACAGAATGAGACAAATATGAGAATGAATCGCCCACGCGTGTATGTGGGTTTCACGTGTTGACCGTGGCTATTGGGTGTGAACTGAGCAATTGGCCCTATCATTCTTCCATACGTACATGTTTCAGATATGCCTGTAAACTGTCTACAACGTGCCCGTGTCTGGGTGTCAGAGAACGCAGCACCAAACTTCAATGAGACTTTCATCTATTTAATGTTTCCTCACTTATTTATGAAAGTGCACTAGTGGTTTTATGTGAATTAATAGCTTATTATGAACTATTATGAACCTCTTTTCAATTCGGCTACCTCGTGATGTTTTCAACAGAAGTGCATACGTGTGTTTTTTTTTACTTTCATAATTGGTACGCCAGATGTTTTCTAATTGAAGAGGCACAGGCGAAGGCGGATAACGAACACTGGCAGCCGCGTCAGAAATGTGGCATTTATGCGAATTATTGCGAAAAAAAATGTTGTTGTGACGATTTTATTGACGCCGAATAAAAAAAGCGGCACCAATGATTGGGAAATGTATTGAGTCACGCTTCGGGAGTCACGCATTTTGACCGACAAGCACTGGCCAGTTTAAAACCCCCATGCTTTCAAACGGAGAACGTCACGGGGATGAGCTAGACTGTAGTTTACTCTCATCATACCCCCAGGAGGCTCTGCTTCCCAGCCCCTTTGTTCAGTCTAGCCGGTGGGTTGAGTCAGAGGGAAGGCTGTGCTAACGCAAGAAATCCATTACCAGTGTGGGAACACCGACAAGAGCTGAGGAAGAGAGGCCCGAAAAAAAAAAACAGCCACGGTTACCGGGAGTCCGGATCGAGACCGTGTTTAAATCAGAGCCAGACAGAGAGAAAAGTTGGCTTTTTTTTTTTTTTTTTTGGAGTGTTGCTGATGCTGCGTTTCGCGTCGGGGACCGTCAGGACGTGTGTGCCGCTGCTCGGTGTCTAAACACAGCGATACATGTCGCTTGTCTTCGTGGGTTGCTTCTCTTCATCCTAGGGAGAGAGAGGAAACAACGAACCGGCAGACTAGCTGCTGAACCCATCACCGGTGTGCTGCTGACGCTGTGCATCCACGCTGACTCTCCCTTTCGGTTTCTGCTCAGCATCCATATTTGCATCCCAGGGAGTGGCAACCACTAATCCCCCTTTTCCTGGCAAGAAAATTGAAAGTTGCCTCCTCCCCCCCCCCGCCCAGGTTGTCGGACACCCCTCGGACGCGCTTATTTCACACAGAAAAGGTGAGTATTTCCCTGCATTAATGTGCTTTGTTTTTTTTATTGTGTCATTTTGGCCCGGGAGGAGGAGGATGAGGTGACCATGTTTAAAGTGAAGGACGTCTGGACCACTTGCCGCATTAGCTACAACAATGGACAAACTGGCGTATGTGTTACATTTTGGGGAGTGCGCATAATCACCCGACCTTTTCCAAATCCGTTTGCACTCAATCAGGTGGTTGGAAAATAAATGCAGGCCAGTGAAGATAGCTTTGCCATAGAAAAAAAAAAAAAAAAAAAAAAAAAAAAAAAAAAAAAAGAAAAAAAAAAAAAAAAAAAAAAAAAGAAAAAAAAAAAAAAAAAAAAAAAAAAAAAAAAAAAAAAAAAAAAAAAGAAAAAAAAAAAAAAAAAAAAACAAAAAAAAAAAAAAAAAAAAAAGTGGGAAAAAAAAATAACCACAGGCGACACTTAAAAGGCCTATTTTGATTCTGTATAACCAAAACCATCATCTCGACAGCTTTAACAGATTGATTGCGCTAAGAAAGAATGTTCCTCTATTATTAATCTGGAAGGTTAAATATTCTGAATAATGATAAACTAGCATGCCGGAAAATTCTTGCTTTCTTTCCTATTTCCACTGTTAGTTTTAAAAAGCCTCAACCACCCCCCCCCCCCCCCCCCCCCCCCCCCCCCCCCCCCCCTGATGTGGCTGTTTATTTAGGCTTATAAAGCATATATTATCTTCTTGAGGCTGTGTTTTTGGGCGGGGGGGGCAGGATTTGTAGGCCATGCTCCACTTGGGCACCGGCCTACATTGGCTCTGTCATGTTATTACTCTGTTGGAAATTGATAAGTTGAATGAACCATGGAGGAATATATGAGGCAATGGGGTGTTATTATTAATAATAGTGCACTCAGTGTGGCAGATGTAGTGGTAGAAACATTAATAACAGGCTTGTTGTTGGTGTCATATTTTACCTTTAGAGGTTTCTGTTGGATTGTCAGGTGTAGGTAACTAGACAAAGACACAACTAAACTGTAGGAGTTCGTCTGCCACTACAGTTTCTGGTTGTTCCTTAATGAGATGCTCCAGCTCAGGGGTACTACAGCAGTGTAGTGTATTGAATTGAAGTGATATTACAATTTTGGAATAGAGCCCACTTCTCATTATTTTCTGTTTCTACCTCTAGGTTTGCTGTAATGAGCAGCCAACAACACAAATGTGAACACATTCGTAGCCAGAAATAAGCCCCTGTAGTGGCCGCGTATTGGGAACTGTATGGTGGAGTAGCCTCAGATTCCTGGATGTAAACAAATCCCAATGTGGTTCTTTGTTTTTTGTCGTTATACTTGGGTGTAAAGCAGGAGGGCCAGAAAGATAAATGGAAGCCACATGCTGTAAAAAAACAAAAACAGATCAACAACTGAGATTTTCTTCTAAGTCAGCGGTTTCGACATTTTTCCGACGTCTTGTCACGGTTTATGGCCCAGTGTGGACATGAGTTAGGAGTAGTTCAACAACCAAACAGTGTTTTTTTCCCCTCTTGGATACGAGAAAAAAGGAATAAAAGTCAGAAAAAATATACTTTTTATTCTGTCTCATCCCTTATGACCCCCTCAGATTCATCTACTCCTCAGTGGGGGGTACTAAGATGATACTTTGGACAGCTCTTAAGTATGCATAAAATATCAAATATGGTGTGGAAATCCTTTAAATACCTTTGCATTGTTCTGCTGTGTACTGAACCAACAGCTACAGACGTTATGCACTCTCATATATTCTTGTGCAAACCGGTTCTCAGTTGTTCTCCTTCGACAGTCTGGGCCATTCAGAGAGGTTAGAAAGTTAGGTGACACATGAGCGTGCATCTTTTTAGATCACATCCCTCGTTCTGCATATTCACATGTGATTTCTGTTAATTGTTCCTATATTTATGACCTTCTTTTCCCCTCCTTTCTCATTCCGACAGCTAAACATGGAGAGCGAGAGCCGCCACTCCCACATCTAGTGCCTGATCCACAAGCCTTCATCACCCAGGGAGGAGCTCTCAGGTCCCGGCCGTCTCCCCTGCTACTGTAGAATGAATATGCTCAAGTCCAGTGGACTGAAAATCCCTGGCCGGGGGCCCAAGCATTCCAGCCCAGTGGGAAGGACCTCAGCGGGTGGAACTTCAAGCCCTGTCGTCCCTAAAGACAGTAAGTAACTTCCTCCTTCTGACCCTGTGGAAAATGGAAGGAATTTATTTCTTCCAGTTCCTTCTCATCACCGGAAGTCCATTTATTTGCGTTAATGACTCAGTAGAGCACAGCTGCATTCGATTACTTACACACACAGAAGCTGGGAAGTGTTTTCTTTAACTTAGTCTAACAGTGTATTTACACAGATCGGCACTTTTTCTTGTTAGCTCTTAGCAGTTTGGATGCACGCCTCACTCAGCATTTAGAATATTGTATATTTATATATAAAACGATAAATAATCAGCCAGAAAGACTTGATGTTAATCTGATGCCTTGTGGTTTTATGCAGTTTCTCTCTCGTGTAGTGATCTTTGAAAGCTGCACTCATCTTTTTCTTAAGTGGATTAAATGAATGTAGGAATGAAGGAATGTAAAGGTGGGTCAAATCCACACTGAATCATCACCTGACTCTTCCCCTCAGCTCTATGGAGCATTTTAGTCACTTTTAAGCTTATTGTTTTGGTTTTACAGCTGTTTTTGACTGAAAAAGCTTAACCCACTTTAGGTTACATGTCCAGGACTAAACTGTTTACCTCAGGATTTGGTGGAGACCAAACGAGAGCTAAAAGGAGAGTGAATCTTGCATTTATCAGGTGGTCAGAAACATGTCTGCTGGATGTGTAAATAAGCAACTGTATGCTAACATTTAAGATGATAACGGATCACTGTTGTGTTTACAGCTTGTTGCAGCTTTAAGCAAATTTAGAATTGGTTTGCTAAAAAGCAGATTTGTTATATTTAGATAGCACTTTTAGAGTGAAAAGGAAGAAGACATAAAAGGAAAAAACCAAGAATGTCTTTTAGGGAAATTAGTTTTGATGGCCCACAGCACCAAAACACAGCACTTAAAGGCATTATCATCCACACGCAGGGAAGACAAACGTCTAAAATACAACACATCTGGATTATAATTAAGATATTATTTTAAAGAAGAAGTGTGGTGATACTCAGTGGTGTCAAACATACGTCCTGTGGGTCAGAACCGACCTGCCAAAGGGTCCAATCCGGCCCACTGGATGACTTTGCATTGCAGAGAAGTCATTTATTTTTCAATAAAATGCACTGCTATTCCTGATTTGTCCTCTGGGCAAAGAACACATTAAAATACTACATTGTTTGTTCAGTTCCAAAATACATGTGACTTAGCATTTTGTTTGAATTGCACTCATTTTTCTTAAGATATCTCTGGCTGTTCATCGGCTTTGTAAATGGATGGTTCATTACTTCTAACGTTTTCAGAATGTATTTGTACTTTTTTTACACCAACAAAAAGGCAACAATTTGTAGGTGCTGTTATTTGTAGGTCATTATGCAATGGTTTTACTGGTCAAATTGGGCTGTATGAACTAAAATGAGTTTGACACCCCTTCTCTAGACTTTTCTTATCGTCAACAAATTAAACGAGCACAACCACTAATACATTTCTACAAAGAGGTATTGTCTTTGTAGCCAAGGCCTGATATATATTACTCCCGTCTGCCACAGAGCTCTATTGTTGTCCAAAAACTATTAAAAACACATCAGTTAGCCACACTGTTGCACTGGCTGTTCCTTCATTAGGAAAGGATTGAAAGACAGACAAATGCACAGTTGGTTTTGGTCTCTTAATCAGATTTGTTGGCAGAAACAAAAATATACAATCACCAGCGTTGTCCGTTTGTCAGGGATCTGAAATGAAAAGGTGAAATATGGACACAGTGACTGTGTTAAGCACGGCTTTGACCTTTCAGCTACTGAAAAACTGACAACTCACCAAAATTAGACAGACTGAAAAACATTCAGAATGAAAATGACAACCCCTGCCTGCAAAAAGTAATCACAGCTGTTCTCACCCTCAAACGCAGCCGCACTGTTTATCCTCCCCAGTTTTAGCTCACATGACAGCCCCAACCCACCAGCTTCACACGCACGTTAGTTCTGTCTCTGCTAAATTACAGCTTCACTCCCAGCTCGGCGCAAACAGAACAGAAGAATAGCCGGCCTTCATTGGCTGATAGTGTGCTTGTTTCTCATTAGCATCAGTGTGCATTGGAGGCCTTTTATCAGAGGCAGCTACAAGTGTGTCATGGTTCATGTTGACTGAGGAATTTCACGAGAGCGAGGGGAAAGAAAACAGAGCTGAAGCCATATAGGTCCCTCCAACACAGGAAGTGTTTCCTTTGCTGAACCGTATATAACTTCTAATTAGTTTAGTGCCCTGCCAGCAATGTTATTTGATATTAAGTTAATGTTTTTTGTTTTTTTTTTAAGTGGTGAACCTAAGCTACTTAGAAGTATGCTTGCAAGTGAATTCTGTCCTACTCCAGTTCATAATGGCTTATATTATACTTATATATAGTTGTGGATGTTAGGTGAATGAAATGAGAAGGACTTTTAAATCCTTTTTTGAAACTTAAAAATAAACACTACATATTAAAAGCTGTATCATTAATTTGACACTTGAAAATGGGATCTAGTAAAATAATAATAAGATATGTGTTTTACAAAATTGGTAATGTCTGTTTTTCTGTGGAAAGACTTAACTGAAAAGCTGCCTGAATGGTAGAAAACACATGTATAAGCATTATAAGCACCTTCTTTTCCGTGGTTTCTTAAAGCCATTTATAAGCATTTTGAAAGAGAGTGAGCAAAAATTCATTTGAATTTGTTTATCCGAGTCAGTGTTTGGCCTGGAGGTCATCTTTGTGTCTCTCTGTGATCTCTGAAATCATCGGCCATTACCAGCTCAAAAAGCCTAATCCCTCGATGTTGCATGCAGGATCCATGATTGTTGCCCAGGGCTCGTCAGCTGTTAGGTAGCTGTCCATATGGGGGACTAGTGCTTATCTAAATTCTTGCTCGTGGTTTAAACTGTTTGTTTCTACCATACATGGCATTAGTAGTTGGCCCACATCCTGTTTATCCAAAGAAGAAAATACACAGTCACGATGCTCACAGTATTTCCCAATGGTGTAAGATCTGCATGTCATCTTATCAGTATAGACGTTTACATTACAGATACTCATACATACTCATCATTCATTTATTACCTATAACAGTGTATTTGGTGATATATTGAATCCTCTTTCTAAATAGAACCAGAATGGTGATTGTATGTAATTGTATAACATTTTATGTAAATGTAATAAGGGATCATCACTCAATGCTTTTTTTATTTATCTATAAATAAATGTTGTAGCATATAAGGATATGCACAAAGTCTTAATCTTAAAGGGAATTATGACTATCTAATACTATCATCTCAAATTCAATTCAAAATGTCCAATGCAGTGTTGAATGAAAAAGATGATTAAGATATCTTTAAATGTGCTGAATGTAGTTATATACCACATTGAAGAATTTCAACTAGTTATAATTTGAATGGAAATATAGAGTCAAAGACTCGTAGGTTCATTGTTATCAGTCAGAATATAACGAGAGATATCTTAAAGGAGCAGTAAAAAAATATGCTTTTGTGCCAAGAATTTGATAAGAAGATTGATATAACGCTGGAGCAGCTAACAGGCAGAAACTGCTCTTACTAATTAACAGATTATTCCTTTGAATAAAAAAAAGGTTTCATGCTGAAAACAGGTCTGTCCAATACTCAAGCAGCACCTAGATCACATGGGAGCCTTTTTTGAACCCACCAGTTCCTTTTAGAGGGGAGGCATATTTCTGGTGTGAGTGTCTCTGCTGGTCAGTCAGCCTAGTTGTTTCTAATAGGAGGATGACTTCTATCCATTATTATCATGATTCATTTATTCTTTTCAATGATATACCTCTTGTTACCTCAAGTTGGCTAAAACACTAATAAGATACTGGTGGGACAATGCTGATGCCCCGGTGAGTAGATGAAGGGATTCGTTTTCTGCCCCAGATAATCTTACCACTGACCTGGCCTCTTACTCCAAATCTCAACCCACTGTTTGTTGGTTTTAGCTGGGAAAGATTGTGAGAAGGGGCCACTGTCGGAGGTTGGCAGAGTTTGCTGAATTTTAAAGAACTGCTTCGGCCTCTGGAGAAAGCTGTAGTCAATGAGTGAACAGAGGAACGTATCCGAGCCTCCTTTCTAGCTGTGCCACCTCTCGTGATGTGCCACGTCTCCTGTGACCTTGGAAGCTAGTTCCTCAGCAGAAATATCTCAGTCGCAGTCGTGAGGCTGTTGCCTTTTTTGGAGACGTACAGCTTCAGCTATTTGTTTCTCTCTGGAGTCCACAGTCCTCGTACAGTATACACCTGCACTCACTGCACCCCAAAAAGCCAATTTCTGTAATCCCACTCGAACCTGAATTGATTTATTCCTTTTAAATTCAGAGTGTGTGAGCATAAAGTTGCATTTATACACATTCAGCAGACGTGGAGCAATGCGGGCATTTATTCAGAGCTCCGTTTTGCGCTCCACTTACTGTTATCTGGCCCTTTCTCTGCCTGCTAAATGCTCAACTATGCTTAAGTTTGTAATAGTTACACCAGGAACACGCAGGAGGCGGACGTACCTCGATAGGTCTCTTCCCACTTGAGTGTGAGCCTGGTTCAGGCACATTTCTCTGCACAGGTCAAAAAGGTGATTCTGCTCCTCTGCTCGTTTCTAATCACACGTACAGCTGATCTTTATAACAACCTCGTGAATTATGTGTAAACGGGGTGTCACTTCTTCTGCAACAACAAAGTCAAAAGTGATGATTGCAAGGAGAGGCCTCTTTAGGAAGTGTGTGTTTGTGTCTGCTTGTCTCTGTTTAGACACAACTGACAAATATGACAATCAGTTAACACGGGCGCTGCGAGGCTGGCGTTAGCTAACTTTGTCTGTCGGCCTGCTACATCTGGAAGCAAGTGCGATTAGATCAGCGAGAGTGAGATAAAAGACGTTAAAACTCTCCGCAGAGCTGGGTTTTAATCCTCCGTGGGTCATTAGGAGAGACCCCTTTTACTTTACGCATGCTCATTTGGTCCTTTGTTAATACAAGAATGTGCAGCTTTAAGATGAACTTAAGATAAAATACATCAACACATTGCAGTATTGTCCTTAATGAGGGGTTATTAATATAGATTAGAGCAGCTTTAGATTAAAGTTTATAGTGGGATAACAGCAAGAGCCTGGGAAGATGGCAGAGAGGTAGATGACATGCATAAAGTTCTGCATAAGGACATAGAGATAGATATGTACTTTATTTAGAGTAAAGTAAGATTGCACATAAGAAGAAAGCATAACATTAAGACCGTATCATGGTCTCTTATTGTGACAGCAGTTCTCTGTCTGGTTTCGGGAGGTTTGAAGACAATTGCTCTACGAAAATGTATAAAAATGTTCACAAAGGGAGCTGCCAGGATGGTGTATGTAATTTTATAGCAAGATTTATATTGGGATATATTGAATCTGGGGGGGAGGAATCAAATTGAGACACATACATAGGCAGAAGGAAATATCTGTTTTCGACTAATCCACCAAATGAAACCTGACAAATAGATGCATCAGTCCTGTAAATCCAATATTCACAAACATTAAATCAGTCCGTCATTGTATTTGCAGCATTTCCCACAATGGCCTGACACACCCAGTAATGTTAAAGGGAGACCTACCTCATTTTTAACACCACATTTGATCCTCGGATGTTTTCAGTCCTTTGTGTGTGTCCCATAACAGTTGAATGGTGAATTACCTGGTAAGACTGCATGCTGAATCTTACCTTATAATTGCTTAATAGCAACAGTCGTTCTGTAACTTGCAGTTCACTGACATCATTATTATGTAATGAAAGTACAGTCCTTTTAAATAATGTTACTTAAGGCAAACTCACTCAAAGAATAGTGGAGCTATTTATCTAATTTATCTGTTTACTGTCCTCTTTCAAGACAGCCCTGGCATGCTTTGTTAGAAAACTGCAGCCTTGTACCATAAAAGCGAGGTTAAATGGGCATAGAGGGACTAACCTATGAACTGAATGGCAAAGAAGGTAACTCACAGCACAAATCTCATGCCTAAAGTGACAGAAATTTAATTCAGTTTTCTTATGAACCCTCTTGCTTGCGCCACCACTCATCTGCAACCATCCCTGCCAAAATATCCACGTGAGTCCTAGATGTCCTGTAACTTGGCAGCATGAAGCTAAATTAACCAAATACAAACAGGAAACAAAATGAATTCTTCAGCTGCTGTTTAAGACATAAAGAATGCAGTGTAGGTAGTAATACAGCGATGTTCTGCTCTGCCACATGTGAAAATGGATTTACTGAAAGTCAGACCTCAAGATGATAAATTGGTCATTTAAAGGAGAGCAGCATCCCTAAAAACCTGTTTGTGCTCATAGGAAAGATCTTAAATGTCTGTTTTTTTTCCTCTCAAATGTCCAACATGACACTTTGGTTGTGGATTTCCTTAATGTGTAAAATATTACCTTGAAACATGGCACAATTGAAAGCACCAAAAGTCAAAAGCATTCAAGCTCAACCCCCTCCATCTGTTAGTGTCTGTGCCGCTCAGCCTTAGGCAGCTGCTACAACCAGCGCCGAAGACACCGACACAATGCCAGCCCAGTCTAACAGATAAGTCCAATTTAAAACAAAAATAACAAGTTAGAGGAAGATGATTGCCACTGTGGAAAATTATGATAAATAACCACAGTTAAAGAGGCTAGATAAAGAGGTGTGTGTGTGTGTGTGTGTGTGTGTGCGGAACCACAGTAGAGAGAGATGGCGGCATAATTGGGGGGGGGAGGAGGGACGGGAGGAAGCTGTGGAGGTTTCATTGTGCAGAGCTGATGAATAGTGGGATTCAGAGGATGGTGGGAGGTGGCCAAGCACAATAGTGAAAGTAAGGACTGTGTTTTCAGTCTTCCTTCTGCCGAGGATCCTTTTGCCCTCACTCTCCTGTTGCCTCAGCAACCCAAATCATGGGTTAGCTCAGGTTTTAAACACTACCCTGGGTCTGCTGGCCAGGATCACATGTTGCATTGGTTGATCTGGTCTATGCCTTAAAAAAAATAATTGTATGTCTCCAGCCCTCACTGTGCATGCAGTGGCACAGCTTTGCACTGGGCTAAACACGCTTCCAATGAATATAGAAGACACTGGAGTTCCTTAGAAGTTTTTACTTTGAGCAGTTGAATATTGGACATACTCACTGAATTCTAAATTATAGTATAAACAAGAGAAAAATGAGATAGACAAACAAGAGTTAGATCGAAAGCTATGTGTTAGTACAGTAACAAGGACACTGGATTCACAAAAATACAGTCTCACATTGTGTTTCATGCCGGGAAGAAACTACGTATTATCAGATCAACAGCAGGAAGTAGAACACAGTTAATAATCAGGTAAACATTCACATAAAGTCCATGAGACTAAATGCAAAAAGAGTAACTGCAAAACAGTTATAGCTAGCAGTAATTTAACATTTACTTAGAATCAATAATCACAAAAACAATATAGCTACAGATCTCAACAAGTACATTTGCAGAGTAGATTAAAGATGCCTGTCAATATTTGTTCACAGTTTCAAGTCAATATTCAATACTACCAACCAGCTTTAGGTTCTGGTAAATGGAAAACAAACAAAGAGCTCAGAGCGAGCCACACAACAGGTGGCCTTTGGTCCTCAAATAGCAAAAATTCTGGGTTGCCAAAGCGTCAGTATTTGATAACTCGGGAATGAGACTCAATAATTAACTATCTCTCTCCACCTTTAATCAGTGACTGCTTTATGCTGCCTTCAAATGGGGTTGTGTTTACTGTGTTCACAAGAAGAGTCTGCATGAATGCCCCCTTCTTGTGGTATACACCAAACCAAGTGAACATTTTTCTGAAAGATCTGATACAGTATGTAAGATAGTTTGATAACCGTCTTAGTTATTGACATGATATTAAAAGCTCTACAGCATATTGTTCCTACAGAGAGTGGGAATTGTGTTTGTTGTGTTTAGTCAGGTTATCCTGTGTTATATCATGGCCACTAAGTAATCTTGATTCGGTTTGCCTGACAGGTATAACCCGATGCCTTTAAGTTCTGAAGTAATGTTTCAGTATTAACCTGTAGGTAAGGGCAGCAAGTGAGGCATAGCTAAAGAGCTTGGATCTACGGTAATGTGTGGAACAAACTGCAAAGTGGATAAATGTCTTCTCATTGAGAGCCATGCAAATTTACTTTTGAATGTGTTTAATATTTATGTGGATCTGGACGTTGGTTGGAGGTAGGACGAGAGGAGACAGGCCTTTGATTTTGATCATGACTGCTTCATAAAATCAAAATCCAACCAAATCTTGACTAAAAATGTTCCACTGTGACCTTGTTAAGATTTCTAAGGTTTTTAAACTGTCACTGGTGCTTTGGATGGCGTTCATAAACCAGCTGTGATTCCAGCTGCAGAGCACTGCAATGTGGGTCAAAGAAGTGTGAATTATGGCTGATGTTGATGCTGTATGACAGTTTGCCCTGGGCGACTTTCCTTTTTAAACATTACTGATCAACCAGAGAGTGCTCCCATGTTTTGATTATCGATATCTTTTGGTCAGCTGATTTATGTAACGTGTAGAACAAACTTTTTTCCCAAAGTCAGAGAAGACTAAATATTTTACAATATTTCAAATGTCTCTTCTAAAAGCCTGCAATATATTGCAGCTGAGCAGTTTATCTTTATTAAGAAAATCACTCGGGACCAAGCAAAATTGTCATCAACAGTTTTCCCCAAAATAAACAACAAGAAGCAGCGCATTCCTAAAAACTTTCATACTGATCATCAAGTTAAAACCTTTGAAGTTGTACCCATTTGCATTTCTAAATGTGTCTCACATCACAACATATGGGAGCAATTGAGGCATAAAGTACAACCATTGGGGCTCACAGAGCCCCAAGCCTTCTCTTAGGGTGTTGGGGAGACAGCCCTGGCACCAACCATTCCTGAGCACACACACACACACACACACACACATACACAGATAAACACAGACATTTACTGGCAGTGCGGTGCAGTAGACCGCGTGCTAATGGTGCCCTGCTCAGTTTACAGGCTGCTGTGGAAAAAACAGAGATCCAGCTCATCTATGTGTCAAACAGGCGATATCACAGGGGCTGCAAGGCAGGGTTAATCACCGGCACATCACAGATACCGTCTCTTTGACCCACTTTTCAGGAGGAATTAGAGTAATGCCTAATCTTGCACAAACTGCACAGTTGTGCTAGATGCTGCCACACAAGCTTTTTTTTTTTTTTTTTTTGCCAGCATGACACGGTCAAACAGGATGAATAGTGTGACGCAGATTCTGCTGGACTGTGAATGATGATGTTCTCACAATGTATGCAGTGTGTACAACTTGACCCTCCAATGAGGAGGGTTATAACCAACAGAATGTCTTTACAATAAGAAGTATTGATTTAGTTTTCAAGCACATTTTACTACATCAGTTTCATTTCACTAATGTTCATGTTGCTTGCTACTGTTACCTTTTGTTTTAGTTGTATGAACACTTGCTCCTGCTTTACAACATGGCAGATAATATATATTGTTTTTCTTTTTCTCCAGACTGTCCACTCAAGCCCACCACACCAACTAAAATCTCTGAAGAGGGTGACGATGTTTTGGGGGATTACACAGTGGGCGAACACGTCTGGGTCAACGGTGTCAAACCAGGAGTTATCGCGTACCTGGGGGAGACCCAGTTTGCCCCGGGACAGTGGGCCGGCGTGATACTGAATGACCTAGTTGGCAAAAACGATGGTTCAGTGGGCGGAGTGCGCTACTTCGAGTGCCAACCCCTCCAGGGCATCTTCACGCGACCCTCGAAGCTCAACCGACAGCCGGTTGGAGAGGGAAGCGACAGCCACTCCACTGACTCACTCTCTGCCCAGAATCAGACTCAGCAGGGCGGCAGTGGCGCCCCCGCTGGCCAGCGGGTAGTGGTGCCACTCAGAGAGTGCCTACTCAATAGCGCAGTGAAGACAGGCAATGAGTCGGGGTCCAACATGTCTGACAGTGGTTCAGTTAAGAAAGCTGGGGATAAGGATCTTCGAGTTGGAGATCGAGTTTTGGTGAGTGATTTTGTGTTGGATAACAAATGGCTTGTTGGACAGAGCTCCTTCTAGTGAGGGAATTTGTGGAGTATCATCGGATTTAAAAATGTAATCCCAGACTGGAAAAGTCTGGGGAATTGAAAGTGTATCTGGCATGGCAAGGGAATATCAGAATATTGTAGAAATGGGTCAAATAGGTACATTCCCTCGGGATAAATAAAGTATCTATCTATCTACATAGCAGAATGTATTTCTCAACCAATCTGTAATGGGAGCCAGACTGTTTACATGACAGCATTCCAGGAAGAGAGACCAGATTCCCACTTTGTGACAAATGAGAATTGTGGGAGTGTCATGGAAATATCATAAGTTGTCCAAAAAGACTCCATTCATTGTCTATATATCTCTGTCCTCTGCAGGTTCGCTGGGGGTGGGGGCTTATCTAAACTGACCGGCTGCTGGCTGTAGCCTTATATTTAACAGACAAACGTTGTATAAGAGTTGTATTGATCTTCTCATCTAACTCTTCCCCAGAACGCAAATGATTGTCATTAACAAGTGGGAATATAAATAATTCCACTATCCGTGCAAATCTGTAAAGTACAATTTAAATATGTTTAACTTGATTTTCTGTAAATATTTGAGATCCATTATGGCTGAAAGGGATTTTTTGAAGTGCCAGTGGATGGCTTATTACAGTTTTATGAAGCCCTTATCCCCAAATTCCACTGGACACGGCTGTGACACGTTCTGGCTCCACCGCAGTCGCCAGTGCTTATCACGCCCGTTCTAGCCAATGCTCTGAATTCCACCATAAGCACTGTGGCGTGTCTCAGAAACATCTCCGCTCTGCTCCAAGTAGGATCGGGCAGCACAGAGCAGATCGCACTGGCAGGAAGTCAGACATTAGAAACGTCACAGAGAATCTGATCAATTTTCAAAATAAAATACTGTGTGCAGACCATATCAGATTGTGTCCATATTGGATTTCATACTACATCAGTATTGTGGCACCAGGCCAGAAATCAGTCAAAGGCAGGTTAGAGGAGATTTAAAGCAGAGAAACACACCATTATGTTTACTCTTTAAGGACAGAACACACAAGTAAACAATGTACAGTGTAATGTGATACAAGGTTGATCCCCAAAACCCCACAGGTTGATCCTTATTCTGTTTATTATTAGTTAATTCAACCTTAATCCATACTCTATTGTACCTTTATCCTTTACCCTACCCTTACCCAACAAAAGATGGCAGTCAAATATGACAATTCAACATGAAATTCAACCACTGGCAGAAGAACATTTTTATCTCCTTTTTGCTTATTTTCTCATTGACCCCTATGAGTGTATACAATATCTGTGCTTGCAATTATAGGCCCTGGGTCACATTGCTTTCCATTAACTGATGGGCACAGGGGAGAGTTACATCAGATGCTGGGCTGTTGGAAACCGGCAGCTCGAGAAGCCTTCCTCCTGGTCAATATTGTAAATCACTCCGGATTACTTTCAGCACTTAAGAGAGGAGAGACCAGTGCTGACACATTGATCAGTGAATCCATCTATTTCCTAAGCCTCTCCCGTGTAATCTATCTATCTTACTGCGGGGGTCTGGATGTGCTGCCATCCAGTTGTCTCACACCCCTCCTTTTGCTTTTGGTAATACAATACTGCCTCAAAAAAAAAATGGTGAAATGAGCACAAAGTGTGAAACTCAGATTACGTAAAGCAAAGACTATGTTCCTCCGCTAGGTATTGAATTATGTGATAGTAGCAGGAGTAGGACACTGTTTTCACACACATTTTGACAAACTGGAGGCATCTTTTGGACTTTAGCAGTGCCAGACCATGCTTTTCTTGCACAGATCTCTAACTAAGGTCAAACTTGGCAAGTGTTTGTGTGTTGGAGACTAAATAGCAGCCATCTAGAGATTGCCTCAAGAGGATGTTACTCAGAATATTAACAAAAATAAAAAATGAACTGCAGAAATGTTTCCCAACAGAGAGACAACCTCAGAGGCTAAACACATGGTTACTGTCTCCATTTTCCTTGGCACCTTTGATGTCTGAGCACCCACAGGAAGCACAGACCTGCCTCTCCTCTGCTTAGCATTTAACTGGAGGCTGTCTCTGTTACTGGAGAGTTTGAGGTTAAAAGAGTGTTTTCTTTCAGTGGGGTTGCATGTGATGTGGCTGGTGTTTATTTGGATTGTCTGAAAGCCACTCCAATGGCCGGTTGTGAGTGTAATTGTCCCTTAACACAAGAATAGCACGGTTGTAGTTGGGTGACCATGGAGCCTGAATGATTTTAATAAACATCTTCAGAGAGAAACTGTATGATGTTGCAATCTCAAAAATAATAAATGTTCCCTTTCCAAATTCAATTTCATGCAGTATGAGCCATGTAAATGCTTAAACCAACTAACCATGGCTTGGGAACTGACTTTTAAGGGAAGTTATCCCTTAAACGTCAGGGGCTGGAGACCACAAACGTCTGTACCAAGTAGATGTTGAGATATAATGATAATATAATATAATAATATAAT